TTTTATTAGCAGTGCCTTGATGTCTCCAGCTGCCAGATTGATGCCTCCAGTGATTTCTTCCAACTTCTCTATCCACCTGTCGGCACCATCTGCCAGTGGGGTCAGCCTTCCGGCAGGGGTTATCATGTCCATAAATGACCATGGCACATATCTGTCTTCATGAGGTCCTTTAGACAGCAAGGGAGCCATACAAGCCTCACCTTGACCTTGCTCTGTCTTCTGCCGTCGTGTTTGGAACCTGGTCAGCATTGGGTGAGTGCCGCTTCTTACTATTTTCAGATCCACGTCACATTCACCTGTGACCGGCTTCTGTACTTTTGCCACTGGCCTGCTTTTTTCCTTGGGCCCCTCATTAAATGGGTTTTTTGACGACAGTATGTCCGGGCCTTCATCCTGCATTCCAACGTCCTCCCAATCTGCTGCATCACTTTCTATTAAGCCTTCCTCCTCACTTCTCGTCTCTTCCCCCTCATTCCTTCCTGCTTTGTCAACCAGGGTCAAAACTTGTGGGTCTGGCTGGTCTGGGCAGTTAGCCTGGGCCTCTCTTATAAGCTGCTCTGCTTCCATTCTCTTCAGCTTCGCTATTTCTTCATCTAGTCTCTTCTTCTCCTCTTTTTGTTTTTTTATTTTCTCTTTCATATCCCTTAGATATTTCACTCGTGCTTTTTCTTTTTCCTTCTCTTCTTCCCTGCTGATAATTTGTGAAAATTCTTTCTTCAGTTCCTCCAGCTCCTTGTCTATTCATTCTGCCATTGATTCAGTCTCTTCCATATATGTTAATGTGGTCCTGGGCGTTGACTGGCATGTAGGGATCCTCTGATATGGTGTTCATCTGCGACGCCTTGGGGGTACTGAGTAGCTATGGCATGGTCTTTTCTTTACTTCAGCTAATGATATGTCTGATTCTTCCTCCGTACTGCTATACCCACACTCTCCCTGCTGCTTGCTCCTTGTTACACTTTCTGCTTCTTCCTCATCCTCTAACACTAATTTGAGTTGTCCTGTAAATTTTACCTTGCTACCCTGCTTCTCACATACTGGATACTGTCCTACAGTGGTTGGGTGATAAGGTGGTGGCTTATGATCGGTAAAGTCGGGAGCTGTTGGACTCTTATGGTGTTCAACTTTAAAATATCGCAGGATGCCTCTCTGTTCAGCATGTTTCTGTTTTTTATGCAAATGCACTCGGTCTCGTTTTTTATCTTTATCCCTCAATTTTTCCTCCACTTCATCACAGCATGAAGGGTCAAAGCTGCCCTCTTTAGGCCAGCGATTTTNTTAAAGTTTTATTATTATTATAGTTAATATTATTATTATTATTATTATTGTTATTATTATTATTCTCCCCTTACTCCCCCTTAGTAATTAACTTTTTCACGCTTCAAACAACGACACACAAGACAAATGATTATGTATTTACAATGCACTCCTTGCGCTTTTTACGCTGCAGGCCTCTTACTCTTACAGCAACTTTTCCTCACTGTCTCCTACAGTGGCACACATGTTTTCCCTGCCGTCGGGATCCACCCAGATAACTGGAAATGGACAACGTTCCCTGTAGAGCGGTACTATTGTCTCGGGCTATCGCTTAGCGTGGCTATCCTCACTGTCTCCTGCAGTGGCACACATGTTTTCCCTGCCACAGAGATCCACCCAGATAACTGGAAATGGATAACGTTTCCCGTAGAGCGGTACTATTGTTTCTATGACTATCGCTTAGTCATAAATACTCTGGCTATCGCTTAGCCTGGCTATCACTTAACCTACCAATACTTATTCAACACAGATATAGAACATACACTAATACCTTCCCTGCTTCCACAGACTATGTCAGGCGCCTTGACCGGTCTGTCCCTCTTTGTCTATTGTTCAGTTCAAAACTTAACACAGAACAGTTCAAATACAGAATAGTTCAAACATTAATCAATACTTAACAAACCATGCATTCACATATACATTCATACCATACATGCATACACACATACCTTTGGACCGCTCTCCAGCTTAGTCTGCCTTTTGTATATTCTTATGTAAGTATTATTAAATTTGGAAAATGCTATTAAATTTGGAATACTAGGTTCTTTTAGGAGAGCTTGGTGGTGCCTGATGCCCACAAGCAGTCGCTGGAGGCTGGTTCCCCACTAATTTAGAAAATTATAACAAATTGTATCTCACCTGTAAGTTGGTGGATAGTGGGCCCTTGGGGGTTCCTGGCCTCCAACTCGTGCCTGCAGGTCGTCCGACACCTGAGGTTCCTCCTGGCTGGCTCGCCAAAATTGTCGTGGAATGTCCTCCCAACGACTTAAAAATTTATGTTAAGTCTTGTAAAAATTCAAAGTTCTTAAAAAGTAGTTGAAAAGTCTTCAAACAATGATCAAAAATCAGGCAGAAGCAGATGGGTC